TCATTGACTCCGTTGACACGAAAGATACTAACCGGCTTTCAATAAACGTTTCTTCTAACGACGGGGTTAGCTTCGTCTCGTGACGTACAGCACTTCCACAAGGTAGAGAGACGCAAACGGTACTATCTTGCCAAGGGCTAAACGAGTCATGCGTCATACGGAAGGACATCTGTTGCCCTTTTCCCTCGACCTAAAACGTTGGTTTTGTCTCTGTTCCTCTAGATATTGGCCGTCTCGTTTCGTTTGCCCCTCCTTTTTACGTCTTCGATCGGCAGTCTTTTTGGCGGGGAATAAAATTTGTTACAGTTCGCCAGGTTTAACTCGAAAGTTTCATCGAATCGACTCGTCGATACAGTTAGGATTGAACATTGAAACAGAAGTTTATGATATCGACTACAGTTAAAATACTCGCAAATATATCGATTTCAACGCTATCTCGCAGAAACATTTTTTAATACGGCCGCAAGATGGCACAAATCTTCGTACTTTAATCGATAATAAAAAACCGCCATAACTATTCACCTTCGATTTGTAAACTATGTCTTAAAATATAAGAAACGTAATGAAAAGGAAAGGTATATTAGAAGCATAACATGCGTACCTGTTCCAACCACTAATAATGCCAGATGACTTTTAGATATTTTCCTATAAAAAGATCTTGCTCGCCAATCATTATAAACTAGTCTAAAGTGAATTGTAATCCAATTTAATGAAATGTGAATGTACAGGTTCATTAAAGCGATTAACATACAACGTATAAATTGCAAAATATTTTCAGTCAGATTTTTTTTAGTATTTAAATTAAAATTATTAGATTTTACTTTTAACTTTCCAATTCTTCTCTTGACATAAGAAACAGCGTAAATAAACTAGGTAACTTGTATCGATCTCAACCATAGACGAGATGTAAGACAGATAAGAAATTCAATTTACTTCTGTGTTGTTTCGGGACAGATTCAAAATGAAATGAAATCACAATGCCATAGACGAGATAAAGAATAGATCTTCTTACTCGATGTATCTTATTGTCCTACTCTGCAAAGACCTTAAAATCGATATTTTTGTATCATTTCACATGTTATCGATTAGCAAAAAGTCGAATTACAAAAATAATTTTTTTATTTAATTATAGAATAAATGAACTTACAAGGAGAGTGCAAATCGATGACCCGAAGGACTTACATTCTCCTTGTTAGTTTATTTATTCTATAATTAAATAAAAAAATTAGATCCCACTAATACAATTTTCTGAAATGAATTTCTAGAATATATGACATGATATATTATAATATTACACGATTCATAAATATATTACATTAAGGATGTCAAATCGAAAACGAAATTTTAAAACTATACTATGACGTTACTATATATATTCATCGGTTCCATTCGATTCAATTTATTTCATACGTTCCCTACTTTATCTTTGGCTGCTCATACGTTTCCTATTTTATTTACAAATATCAATGTAAACAAACAAATGAATATAATTAAATTGTAAATAATACAGTAATAGTAATTTAAAAAAGTACTTTTACTTCTGTTGATTTTTCCAACTTTGGTAGTTGAATTAAATTATAATTCTTGCATGCAACGCTTTCTATCGTAGAGAGCGTAACAAAACCTCACAAGAAGAGTGCAAGTTCTTCGGGTTACCGATTTGGTTCAAATTTTGTAGGTTTATAGATCTCTTTACGCAGTTCAAGAATATATATCATTATAGCCGACACTACCCAATAGTTTTTGTAATATTCACAACTAAAGTTTTATTATGCCGTTATTTATTTATTTATATCCATTACCTTTTAATTCTAATCGTAGCGCAGCGGCGACATTCGAGAATTTCAACGCTGAAGGTCCAGCGTTCGATTCCCTATGTTGTTTCTCATACCCTTATAGTCTTTTTTCTTAATCTATTTTTTATTTTATATTCATTTTTCACTCATGAAAACATTGTAAATAAACAAATGTAACTAAACTTCTTAATAAAAAAATTTATTTTTTACACTTTCTTCTGCTAGTATACATTTATTACAAAATCATAAGAATAGTATGCAAGAAAGTCAGTTTCCTATAGCAAACATATTTAATACAAAAAGAAAACGAAAATATAAATAATCATTAGATACAGGAAATACAAAACCTATCGCTCATGTGAGTATTAATTATTAAATTAAACATCGTATAAGAATGTTGCCTATAATTCCATCTTTGATGTGCAGCTAAAAATTTTCATGAATTAATTACAAAAACTTGGAAATTCATTAATTTTATAGTGCCAAATTGATTTATTAAGATGGTAAATTTGTATCGTCTATTAAAGTGAAAAATTGTACTGCCTGCGCCATCTACGATTATGGACCCGAAGCTCGAAAAGTGATAGGAATATAGAATAGGCAAGAAGGTCGTCGAAGTGCTCGTCACGTGACAGACAAGGACAGAGAGGGGATAGAAAAGGATAAAATGGCTCCGGCAGTGAAGAATTATTAATTACTCAATTTCCGTAAACAATTTGTGAACTTTTATAATTTCATTGTAAAGCTAGAACTTCAAGCAACATTCTTATATAATATTCGTAAAGAATTTAACTCTAAATTGTTAGTTATTAATTTTTGTTTTATGGCGTCTATGATTTCGTAACGGCGACCATCACGATCTTCCGTGAAAATATTTAATACTCACCGAAACTAGAATCAAAATGTGAACAAAAGTGATATGAGAAGATTCGCAAGGACATTCTTTTTATAATGAGTGCTTAAAGTTTCATAAATTAATTGCGTAAAGGATAGTAATTAATGAAAAACCAATGGCGTCTGCGACCAATCGATCAACAATTCAAACACTGCGCAGAACAATTATTAATAATTAATTAATTGGGGACTAATTTATATCGAAAAATATATGTGAAAGTTCGTGAAGGATCTGGCTTTACGATGGTATTATAAAAGTTCATAAATTATTCACAGATATTGAGTAATTAGTGAATCTTCCACTGCCGATTTGATTTATTAAAACATATACGGAGCACATAACCAGAGTTAGTAAACTGACATCAGAGCCATCTATGATTTTAGACTCGAAGCTCGGGTTCTGCAACGAGAACATAGATGGCTCTGATGTCAGTTTACTAACTCTGGTTATGTGCTCCGTATATGTTTTAATAAATCAAATCGGCAGTGGAAGATTCACTAATTACTCAATATCTGTGAATAATTTATGAACTTTTATAATACCATCGTAAAGCCAGATCCTTCACGAACTTTCACATATATTTTTCGATAGAAATTTGTCCCTAATTAATTAATTATTAATAATTGTTCTGCGCAGTGTTTGAATTGTTGTCGGAGATTGTCGGAGACGCCATTGGTTTCTCATTAATTACTATCCTTTACGCAATTAATTTATGAAACTTTAAGCACTCATTATAAAAAGAATGTCCTTGCGAATCTTCTCATATCACTTTTGTTCACATTTTGATTCTAGTTTCGGTGAGTATTAAATATTTTCACGGAAGATCGTGATGGTCGCCGTTACGAAATCATAGACGCCATAAAACAAAAATTAATAACTAACAATTTAGAGTTAAATTCTTTACGAATATTATATAAGAATGTTGCTTGAAGTTCTAGCTTTACAATGAAATTATAAAAGTTCACAAATTGTTTACGGAAATTCAGTAATTAATAATTCTTCACTGCCGGAGCCATTTTATCCTTTTCTATCCCCTCTCTGTCCTTGTCTATCACGTGACGAGCACTTCGACGACCTCCTTGCCTATTCTATATTCCTATCACTTTACTGCCTTTTAGAGCCAAAATCATAGATGGCGCTGATCGCAGGCGGTAAAATTTGTATTTATTCGGCAGTAGAAAATTAATAAATTTTCAAGTTTCTGTAGTTAATTCATGAGCATTTATAGCTACACAGCAGAGTTGGAATTATAGGCAACATTCTTATACGATGTTTAATTTAATAATTAGTTACTAACAAATAAGATTGCTATAAAAGTGTTTTTCTTGCATAATATTCTTATTATTAAGTGATAAATATATACTAGCATAAGAAAGGGTGGAAAATAAATTTTTTTATCAAGAAATTTTAATTACAATTTTTTATTCACAATGTTTTCATAGGCGAAAAATGAATACAAAATAAAAAATAGACGGAAAAAAACTACTAACTATGATCTGGAATCGAACACTGGTCCTCGATCACATGAATTCTTGACCTTCACTGTTAGGCCACGATTTCATTTGAGAACTGCTGGAAATAAATGTGTAATTAAGGTCATAATAAAATTTTATTCATAAATATCTCAAAAACTACTGAGTAGTTAGTCCTATAATGATATATTTTCTTAAACTGCATGACGAGATCTATAAACTTACAAAATTTTAAGCAAATCATTGACCCGAAGGACTTGCACTCTGTCAAATGTTTTTACGGGATCGGTATTTCAGAACATGTGTCGAAGTCTCGTAAGATTTTAGATCTCTCCTGTAATTGGTCAATGATTATATCTCATTTGTAGTAAACTGTAGTAGTTTATTAGAATTTTACTTCAGTGTTGGTATTGTGTCTTTAATATTTAAATTTGCGTAGAACGATTATTGAACAGAAAATAATTTGTACATTTTTTTCCAAATATATGTTTCAATTGAAGTATCGTTATTGCCTACTATATACGATATTAATCACTTTTATTAAGAGGCAATACAAAGGAATCGCTTTCTATTTATTATCGTTTGATATTGTTTTAAACTATGAATTTCTATTCGCTATTGTTATTCTAAATTATAAAATGTAATACAGCGTTATTATTTTGTCAATGGTAGTGTGTCGATTCTTATAACACGAACTTTCATAAATTTTTAGATCTATGCTAGGTTTTTTGGCTACATATAAATTTGTCAAATGAACAAAATGGAAAGGTTAATGTCACATCGTGTTGCATAATAGGTTACTAGCGCCATCAAGCAGTGCAGCTTCTGAAGTACATAGTCAACGATATATCGAATTATCAGAGCTCAGGCGAGTCGGATGATATTGAAGTAACCGGTAGTGCTCTCTTCTCACTGCCGTGAACCTTTTTCTTTTCGACTCCCTCTATATTGGATAGTAAAGTATTTTACAAAAAAGATGATGCAAGCTAATATTTGGAATTTGGTGACCACTTCTGTCAGAGTAAGTTTAAAAGAAGTACTTGCTAACAAATGGCAGTAAAAATTCACCACACTCGCTTATTGGACCATTCATATTAGAGTCTATTTCGTAACATTTTGAAGGACAAATAATTTTGTTGCTTATTTGATTCAATTATTCGGTTGATTATCTTTGATACCGATTCTTTATTTTAATAAATCATTTGTTCAATACTTAGAAGGATCGAACTATTTTCTTAAATTTAATATTTGGCATAAAACTACATTCTTCATTGTTCGTTGGTTATGTCACCTACATTTGACTTTTTCAAACCTTAACAATCACAGATGCTAAGATAAATGAAACTAATTTAATTCTTTTTGAAATAATAACTTGTTATTTCTATTTTTATTAGCCAACATGTGTCAAGCGTATTGTACCTGGCTTGACAGCTGCACAGCAACGCAGATATGCCAGTAATTTAGAAGCAGATATTGTGGTAATAGGTGCTGGTCCTGGTGGTTATGTGGCATCGATTAAAGCTGCTCAGCTAGGGATGAAAACTGTTTGTATCGAAAAAGGAGAAACATTAGGTGGGACTTGTCTCAATGTTGGGTGCATTCCATCAAAATCTCTGTTGAATAATTCTCATTATTATCATATGGCACATGGAGGAGATTTACAGAATCGTGGTATTATAGGTATGGTTTTTTATATAAAAATTTTCTTTACATGCAATATTATAACTTAACTTAACTACAAACAAATATCTTTGACTTTCTAGTTGAAAATGTTAGGCTTAATCTTGATAAGCTAATGGAGCAGAAACGGAATGTAGTCAAAGCATTAACAGGTGGCATTGCTAGTTTATATAAAAAGAATAAGGTAGAGTGGGTCAAAGGTCATGGTAAAATTACTGGTCCAAATCAAGTGACTGCACTAGGACCAGATGGTTCAGTAGTAAGCACAATTAACACTAAGAACATTATAATTGCCACTGGCAGTGAAGTTTCACCATTTCCCGGTATAGAAATCGATGAAAAACAAGTTGTTTCATCTACTGGAGCTTTATCATTAAGCGAAGTGCCTAAAAGATTTATAGTGATTGGTGCTGGTGTCATTGGATTGGAATTAGGCTCAGTTTGGCAAAGGTACTTCTCATATTTAAATTAATTATACAAGATATAAATGATGCAATATAGTTTAATTGTTTCGTCTATTTGTTACTATAGGTTGGGTTCTGAAGTAACAGCAATTGAATTTTTACCGTCTATCGGTGGGGCAGGTATCGATGGTGAAGTTAGTCAAACATTACAAAAAATTTTAAATAAGCAAGGTGTGAATTTCAAATTGGGAACAAAAGTTACTGCCGCGAAAAGAACAGGCAGTGAAATAATTGTATCCGTTGAAAATGCCAAAGATCCTAGTAAAAAAGAGGATCTAGCATGTGATGTACTCCTAGTCTGTGTTGGCCGAAGGCCCTACACGGTGAATTTAGGGTTAGAAGATATAGGAATTGAAAGAGATGAAAAGGGCAGGATCCCTGTAAACAATAGATTCCAAACAGTAGTACCTTCGTAAGTATAAATTTGCTTAGAAATTTTTTAGTTTTCGTATTATTAATGTTACATTTATGTAGGATTTACGCTATTGGAGATTGTATTCACGGACCGATGTTGGCTCATAAAGCGGAAGACGAAGGTGTTATTACAGTAGAAGGCATTGCTGGAGGTAATTAGGAGTACATGTTATAGTTTCAGTTTGTATCATAGTAAATGTACAAAAATTATAACGATATGTTCATCCAGGTGCCGTACATATCGATTACAATTGTGTCCCTAGTGTAATATACACACATCCAGAAGTAGGTTGGGTTGGTAAAACAGAAGAAGATTTAAAGAAGGAAGGTATCGACTATAAAATTGGAAAATTCCCTTATTTAGCAAATTCCAGAGCAAAAACGAATCTCGAAACAGACGGCTTTGTTAAAGTGTTAGCCGATAAAAATACAGACAAAATATTGGGAGTACATATGATCGGTTCAGTCGCTGGTGAACTGGTTAACGAGGCTGTTCTTGCAATGGAATACGGAGCAAGTGCAGAAGATATTGCGAGAACGTGTCATGCACATCCAGTAAGTATTTAAGCGATATTCGAAGAATATCGAATGAATATCGAATACTGAATTTATCATTGCTTTTGCAGACTTGTGCGGAAGCCTTAAAGGAGGCCAACTTAGCTGCGTATTTCGGAAAGCCAATTAATTTTTAAACATCTGAACAAATAATCCGGGAACATTAATATTTTGACGTATCGTAGCTTCGATCTAGTCTACGCTCAATTTCAAATGTGTTCGGACGTGTCACATTATACATGTATCACCTAGGTCACATCATTGTTTATTCACATAAGAATAAAAGTTGTAAATAAAAATATAAGAGAACTTATGAAAGTACTACATCTTTTACAGTAGATTTACCTTTGTGTCTTGATTATTGTATTTATTATAAATAAATTGATGATTCATTAAAAAATGTTTAAAAATATAAAATTGGACATCTATAATCTCGTAACACATTATTGTAGTAATCTCGAGCCCATAGCGATAAGTTTTTATGATGTTATTATCGGAATCCTTTTCCTCGATTTCATAAGAGTATATGCCTTGGTAGTTAATTTTAGTCATCGTACGATTACAAGAATTCGAAATTTAGTACGCGTATAATGGAAAACAATGCGGTAGACGTACCGCGTTAGTTGAATTTCACAAGTAACTATGGCCTCTTTTTTTTTAAAAGTACCAATTTCTTCGATAATGAGTAACCATCGTAGCAAAGATAAAAGGTCGATAAAAATAAATTTGAATTCGTGAAAACGAGTCGAATACGTTCACTGACTAGGTACGTTCCTGAATAGCACGTGACCGGCGCAGCAGTAGCAGCGTTGCCATCAGTCAGCCACAGCTCGTAGCGGCCATTGGCAACGTTGCGCAGTGCCAGAGAGAGAGAGAGCTGTGAGGGTGGCACTTGTGCGGCAAACACACCCAATGTTTGTGTTTTCGAATTTTTCGTGATACTACGAGTTGTTGGTGGTCGTTTGGCAAGGCATGTAGCGCCGTCGTCAAACCGCTCGAGATGTGGACGACGACGAAAACAACTAAATACGGCGTCGGTGAGTTCTCGTAGGTGTTCTCCCATGATTAACGCGCGGCATCGACCCTGCGGATCTGTCAAACCGCTCGTGCTCTATCCGCGCAATTCTTCCGCGTGATCCCGTCCGCGATCGTGGAATATCACCTCTTAACAATCGATACAGTGTCACCGATGTGCACACGTTTTTTCCCTAGCGCGTCAGATATCTTAGTGTCAATGATTCGATCAGTGAGCGTCTTAAGTTCTTTTGGCTACATGCCGCTTAATACGCTCGAGGTATGATGCTGCCGTCGTGGTCATACCGCTGCGTGACCGAATGCATGTATGTGTGCTGCTATTTTGCTGCGTGTGTTTCGACTCCCATTCATGCATTGATCGTGAAGGAGTAGTAAGAGGAGTCCAATAAAGCAAGTAACGCCAGTCTCTCTTTGCCGGTCAACTCTCGATTTCGCCTTTCGTTTTCCGATTCTCTTTACTTTTTTCGTTACGTTTATGCATGTTTCGAAATTGCTGAAAAGTGTTACACGACCTTCGAAACTTAAATCATTCACCTCTACAAATTTCCCTCGATATCGATACTCGCGACGAGTTGTTGAAACATAGCGACAAATAGGTTAAACTTTTGACTTAGTATTTAAATTCGGATATCTCTTAGAACGTCGCGTAGCATTATCGTGGTCTCGTTTGCAGTCAGCTGATGCTTCTCTCAAACGCGAGGTCCTCCACTCTAGAGTATCCTTGAATTACGACCGTTTAATTTTGTTTTGTCTGTTTCGTCTGGGATACACGACGTCGGCAGACGCGCGCCCGCGCGCGTTTGCTGCTTTAACGTTAATTCCCCTACGCCACTGTCGATGTTTACCGCAGGCGGATGTAACATCTTCGTCGGCCAGACTAATTCTTCCTTTTTCACCGCTAATCTTCTTCGAATTACATAATTAATAGTTAGACGTCGTCACGCGAATATCTTTCGTATCAACTCGATGCACGTTCCATCCAATTTTTCTCATTCGAATTGAAAACCAATGCTCGAGAGTTTTAGTAATTTTTTCGTTGAAAGAGCCGTCGAGATACGGCTTAATAGAATGCACACTTGACACGTATTGCTCCGCGAGCTTTGGAGAGGTGTACAACGACCATGGAGGATGAAAAACGCGTGTGAAATGCATGCAGGAAGAGTCGTTGAGATTCGAACGTGCTAAACGCGACTGTGAAACCTTTGATCAAAAGACTTTTTATTTAAACCACGTATTCTATTCTAGGTACGCGGAATTTGCATGTCAAAGGAATTACAAATATTCTACACGTAAATCTCGTTACTCATTTGTACGTTATCTTTGTGGAAAAAAGGACGGGGAGAAAAGTAAGGTTAACTCGTCGAACGAAAAATATTTTTCGTCCAACGAACAATCCTTTTACTCGCGATCGGCAGCGTTGCATGCGACGCTTGTTTGTCCCGATTAATTTTGCCCGAAGCAACAATTGGAACGTCGAAGGATCAATTGAATCCACGATCGACCGGAAACACTCCCGCTGTTTCGAATTGAACGTGAACTCGCGTTGCGTAGCGTCGCCACTCATTTCGTCTCGTCTTGTTTCGTCGTTTCGTCGCGTGTCGCGCTGCGTCGCATGGACCGAAACGGGCCGGAAAAATTAGCAATATTCCGCGTCGATTAAGTGCGTTCAATGGCCGTTCGCGGCCAAACGTCAGTAAGGAAGAAATGCGTCACGAAACCCATCAACCTTCGAGTCCATACACGAATTACCTCGTGTCGCGAATTTAGCATGTTTTCGCGATTAAAAGCAAGCGTAACGCATTCCAAACTATTTTCGCCGAGTCATCGCAATTTCGTTTCATCGGACACCCTATTAATCGCTCTGATTTTAACGATAGCTAGATATTTCTTTTCAACGCAGAACCAGCGTCGATAACTTCGTCGTAGCTTCTTATTACACGCTACCGTTTCAGTGATAAGATTATAGCTCTTTGTTCAAATATGCTTCATTCGAAAAGTATTTCGTTTTTTCACTCGTTGAACTTTGATTTCCCTTTGTTCGCGTCAGATTGAATTCAAGGAAATAATTATAGTTTCTTTCACACGACATTTTTCGAAACTATCATCGGAGAAATGAGAAGCGTTGAAGGGATAGTAATAGAGGTCGTTGACGGGAAAAAAAAAGGCACGTAAATATTTTGAAACTTTGGGGAATAAGGTCATATATACGCACCGATAATTATACAAGTCGTCTAACAAGTGTATATTCTATTGCTAAATATTTCAAACTTCGCGCCTTAAATACATCGCGAATTAATAAAATTGATCGCGATGGAGCTACGAATTCGATCTAACTGTTAAATTCTTTACCAAAATAGTTAATAAAGTCGATTTTCATGAATTTTTTACTTAGATTTTCACAATCACTGGCACCAAGTACGAACAGTTCAATTTCGTTACAATCGTTTCTTTTCGATCCGCGACTTAGGCCATTTTCATACTCCCCATAGCAAATCATCTTCAAATCGTAGTCTCCGTTAAGTTTAATTAAGCGGGTTATCCTCGGAGAAATTAATTACTTTTGCATTACTCGTATTGACGTCAGTTGCATTACTTCTTTCCCGAGTAGTAGATTATCCAATAAAAATAGTACTTCTGCGCACGTGCACCTCTTCCATGGAATAGCTGGACTACATTTACCTCAGTTCGTTCACTTTCGCGCAGTTCCTAGCATCGTATCCTACCCACGATAATGAAACAATATTCCTGCCATTCGATTGCCTCATTACGGTTAGCCAATCGTCGGCTAATGGCACGAGACGCAAGTGCGTGGACGTAGGCCGCGATCTCTTGCAAATCAGCTCCACCAACGTCACTACGTTCCATCGCGAACGCTTGAAAAGCGTGGAACGACGTCAGAGAATTCGGTAGAAAAGCAGAGATCTGCCAATGCGCCGCGAAAGATTCCAATTTCCTGGCAGCGAGGGTCGAGTGCCATTGCGATTTGCATCGCAGTGCACGAACAGCTCGTCCTCCGGCACCAAATGTCCTCGTCCAAGTGGTCCGAGCCACTTTTTGCCCGCCTGGTCCGCTCCAGTTCTGCCGCAAAAGGCGCGAATAACATTTCCCAGCTGAAACCGTGACGACTGTACCTCGCGGAGACCCAACGCGACATGGAAACGAGCCTTGCGTCCGCTCACGGATCCCTGGTTCCTCCACGATCTTCCTTGGACATGGGAGTGCAGGTGGCTGAGAAACAGTGCAACCTGGCTGTTCTTCTGACGTTTGCACAGCGACCTAGCTGCTGTTCTGACGTTTACACGGTGACCTAGCTGTCTCTATGACGTTTACACCGTGACCTGGCTGTATCTCTGACGTTTACATCGTCCATTTCCTATCCCATTCTCCAACGGAGGCAGCAATGGAGCACACGGTCCCAGACGAGTCGCTTCTCTATTTAGCGAAACCTGTCACCCATTACGTGATCGAGCGATTCCGACGTCTGCCGAGAATCTAAACAACGGTTCGTCGAACTCGCGATAAGGACAGTCGTAATCGAGGCAGTTGGAAAAAATTCGAGCAGAATCGGCCGACGAGTTTCTACCCACTTGGCTGACATTTATCGGCTAGACTCCTTTTTGCTCTCAGCGCGGCGGGATAGGAATCGAAGTTGTCCTGGTCTGTCGAAGGGCCCTGATAATTCGAACCTGTTTAGCTCGAGAACCTCCGCGAGACGAATATTTTCTCCGTTCCTTCATGTTTAGCTCGAGCTCGGATTATCTGTCGTGGGTTTGCAGGCGTTCTTTCCTCTCTGAATGGCGAATTTTCGATCGTTGACTGGTCTGCATCGTCTGTAAAAAGACGAAACGAAGTCATAGAATATCTATATGTTCGTAAGGTCTATAGTCGATGTTAAGTTCAAACCGATGTAGAGATTCGCGAAATAGTGGAATAAACGTGAATTTAGCGACAGGTATAGCCAAAAAGGAGCATCGATTGCGACGAGTTGGTCCTCTCTCTCTGGAAATTCTCGATAAGTCGAGACCACTGTGTGTCCGAGCTTGCAGCTTTCCCATGGAGATTCGAGTTACCGAGTTTTGAAACCGTCTGTCGGTTGCTCCTCGGTAGTACTTCCGGTTTCATCTTGCCTCTCGATCCTCCCGATCGCTATGGAACTGGTGAGAGTCCTAGATTTCCGCGTCGGCATACATATGGTGTCAATAAAGCTACTTGGCCGGGACGAAGCCGCATCCGCGGCGCGATTAAGCCATAATCTTCCAATCTAACAATCTGCACCGTGATCTGCTCGCGGCTGTGTTCCCGCGTATTGTTTCCTTCGTTGATCAGCACTGTGCGAACTCTCGACGCTTGTTCTCCATCGGACTCAGACCACCGAGTCCTCCGCAATTGGATTTCTCGAACACGCGAATCCGACATGCCCACGCTTGTCTTCAGCCGACCAATTGTCACCGGCCATCGCGTGCGACTCCTCCGCGACTTAGAGCAGTCTTTAGATCAGTCTTTAGAGCAGTCTTTAGAGCAGTCTTTAGAGCAGACTTTAGATCAGACTTTACGTTCCTTCACGACTTCGTTTCGCAAACTTCCGGACATTTACGAGCGGTTTTCTAACGAACGAAATTAGCTTGGAATCGTGGAGGTAGTCGTAAAAAGAGAATTGGCGTTCCCCAGCCCAGAGAGACAGAAACTTCCTGTTTCTTTGCGATTTTTCGAGATGAAGTTGCTGCAAGGAAAGTACACCTGTTCGAATTAAAGCTTTTTCCAAGCTTTTGTTCGAGCAGCAGCCTCGCCGAGTCTGTATAGATGTAGACGTCAGAGACGTTCCTCGGGGTTCCGCGTGGAAGAAATTGGAAAAGCTCGCGTGGATGTCTTCGTCAGTCGTTGATGTCAGTTCCTCGGGGTTCCGCGTGGAAGAAATTGGAAAAGCTCGCGTGGATGTCTTCGTCAGTCGTTGAAGTATTCACCCGGCGTTCGATGTGTTTCTTCTGCACGCGAATCCTCGTGT